TAAGGTGCAATAGCACGTCAGGGCGTCGCGAGTTCGAATCCCGGCTCGACGACATTTCCCTACCCTTCCCCCTGTCTCTCTCTCCCACTTTGCTTCCTGTCTAAAATCTATCCAATCAAATAATAAAGGCAAAAAGGCCAAAAATAAATCTAAATAAATAAATAAATAAATATATATATATATATATATATATATATATATATATATATATATATATATATATATATATATATATATATATATATATATATATCACGGTTTCATTGTTTTACGATATTGAATACTGCTCTAAAGTATGTTCTTTTTTTAAATGTCTGGGTGAAAATAAAAAGTTTTTTCTCCTTTAAACACAATATATTTTATTCTGAGAAACATTTCAAATATTTTAGAGCAGTAAACATGTCAGGCTAAGTAATTCAAATAAATCATAGACTTCTGATGTCTTCCTTAGGTTCCAAAACACAGATTTCATTACAATTTAAAACGGCATCTTGGATATTTTTTCTGCAAGAGAAACTGTTGTCCTAAAAAACTAAACATAAAAAAACATTACATATACCGTAGGAACGGTATAGCAGAAAATTTTGGCAGTTTTAAAACTTTGACTTTTTCAAACCACGATATACCTTGAAAACGGTTATCGTACCATGCCTGCTTCTAATAGCGTAAAACATTGAAAGGCCAATCACATTTTCTCATGAATTACATGATAAAGATTAAAAGATAGTGAAATTTTGCTGATAAAGGAAACATTTTTTTTTTTTTTAAATAGAATCATTTTACAAGTCCCCTGGAGTTAAACAGTTGAGTTTTACCATTTTTGAATCCATTCAGTTGTTCTCCAGTTCTGGCAGGAGCACTTTTAGATTAGCTTAGCATGCTGTAGATCAGGGGTTCTTAACTGGTTTAACCATGGGACCTACATTTTTACAAGGTCATCAAGCCGCGACCCAAATTTTTAGGCACTATAATACAATTTTAGGAATTATACTTAATCTGTATTTATTTGTTAACATAAGCAAGTAGTGACAGATACATCATAAGAAATTCACCAAGACTTACAAATAAACACTATTTTATTGCTGTCATTTAACAAAATGGATCAAATTATAGAAATATTGCACAGTAAATACGACAAATACTTTTAATAATAAACTGTTAATTAAACATGTTTTCTAGAAGGTTTCATGCTCTCTTATGAGTGCACCTCACTACATATGACACTGACATATATATATATATATATATATCGGGGTCGTACTAGGGCTTCGACATATTTGTTGCAATAATTGAATGAAATGTTACATGTCAAACAGTAGGGTTGTCCCGCATGCATTTCAAAAGAAAAGTCCGTTATAAGCAAAATAAGTAAAACATTTTACTTTTGTTGTTTTTTTTTTTCCGACCACACACTCCGCGACCCACCATTTGAGAAACACTGCTGTAGATAATTGAATTAGATTAGACCAATAGCATCTCACTCAAAAAAAAATCTGGGATACCATAGCTGCAGCAGACGTTATGATATAGCACCTGAAAATCATCTGTCTTCTATCAATATAACCAACAAGAACACCTGCTTTTACAGCGGCCACAGAAGTTACTTAGCTGGGGACTATTGTCAGTATAGTAGCGTAGAGAAGTGTAAAGTACAGTGGTCCCAAGTTATTCGCGGGAGTTATGTTCTAAAATTAACCCGCAATAGGCAAAATCTGTGAAGTAGTCCGCTCTGTTTTTTATAATTATTATAGATGTTTTAAGGTTGTAAAACCCCTCACTACACACTTTATACACTTTTCTCAGGCAGGCATTAACATTTTCACACTTTTCTCCCTCATTTAAACACTCAAAGTCCAAACCTTCGTAGAAAATTAATTTCAGTAATTTAGAATGAAACTAAAGATTAAAACTGTTGGATCTTCATTTATTTATTCCGTAATTGTGTCCTACAGCTGCATAACTTTCACCTCTCTTTAGCATGTCCAGAAGTTCAACTTTTTGTGCGATAGTTAGCATCTTCCTCTGCCTTTTGTGTGCTACCGCAAGTGCCTTTGACGGTGCAGAATGTTTCGTCGACATTGTGGGGAGAAAACTTGCAACCATACAGTCCAGCACTTCAGAGTCACACTGCTAGCGATCAGAGATTTATGTAAATTTGGAAAGCTGGATGCATTCTATAATGTACAGGAGACATGGCATGGAGGAGACTTATTGGCAGTGGTCTACAGCCAATCAGAGCGCAGAACACAATGTGCTGTGGAAAAAAGTCAAAGTACACGGGGAAAAAAAACTGAAATTGTTAGACCGCGAAAAGGCCGGACCCTGTTGTCGTGGTCAACTCCTCTCTGTGTCTCAAGTCCGCCAATGTACGTGGTGAGCCACTGGGCAAACTGGTAACAGCAGAAAAGCTGTCCACAGGGAGGAAAGTGGTCAGCTGGTAGCCCAAAAATAAACAGAAGCCATCTGCGGTGTCATAACACCCCGTAGCGTTCATTTTAAAAATGAAATGCAGCTATACGTACCTCTGGCTACAGAATTTGCGCTCTCCAGAAATGTATACGAGGTACCTTTGCACAATGAGCCTGTGTTTATAGTATAGTATAGTATAATGCTGTGTACCCCACCCCCATATTGGTATTTTTCTGGACCATTACTGTCTATGGAAGATGAGGCAGCTCTCAAATTTAATGTAAAATATTGTAACGAGGAGACTGACACGGAGGGATCCATTATGCAGTATTTATTAATCACACTCTTGCTCAAACACACAATATGCACAAAGGTGCAAACACACATCAACAGTAGTAGTAATGTTCTTAAGGCTGGCGGCAGACAGACACAGAGTGATTTACCAGGCATGGGTCAAAGGCAGGCGGCGTGATTCAGAGTCCGTGTATCAGGCTTGGGTCGAGGGCAGGCAGCGAGTATCAGAGTCCGTGTATCAAGCTTGGGTCGTGGGCAGGCAGAAGGCAAAGCAGAGTCAGAAACGGGCTGGAGTAGTACACAGGAGATCAGGCAGGATATAACGCTCAGTAATGCTGGCCAGGGCTGAACAAGACTTCGCACTGACTGAGTGTTTGAGTGCGGCTTATAAAGGGTACGTGGGTCGTTAGCTGGGATGTGATTCAGGTGTGCACGATCAGTGTAAATGGATGATGTAATTCTAGAAGTCCGGAGATGGCGGCCTCTGCTGGCCAGCGAGGGGAATGACTGGGACCGAGTCGCTGACAAATATCTTCATTTGGGTTCTGAAGACGAAAAAGGCTCTCTGGGGGTTGAAATAAAATTACTCACATGTGGGTGAGTAATTAAAAGCAGAATTTTCATATTTTGGTTGAATTAACCCTTTAATGCTGGTCAACATGCACTATTAAATGGATGAAAAAGACTTTTTTTTTCTCCTTTTGTTGCCTGAAAATTAAAAGCATTAGAAAAACAAAAGGGTGAGTAAATTATGATTGGAATTAGATTTAATGGCGAACGTTCCTTTTTTAAATATTCTTCCTACTAATAAAAATTAATAAATAAGGACTGAAAGGAGAACCAACAATACTTCAGTGGCATTGCTGTGAAAACCCTGCCCTTTTTGAGTGTATAGAGGCATCTCTCTCAGGTCGTAAATGTTGAGATAACTGTCAGAAAAGGAAAGCGCTGCTGCCACCGGAGTAATGACTCACCTGGAGGGCTTGAATGCAGGCATTCTCTGGCTAATTAAACCTGTAAGACATTGATATGGACTGGTGGAAGCCAGTGTTTTCAACTGCTCAAAGATGTCAGGGAATTATGCTTTATTCAATATGACTCATTAAGCATGACAATATACAGCTTTTCAACAATGCATGCAGGTATTCCAGCTTTGAATGGTTTCAAATAATCCACTTATTCATTAAACTCATTCATTCCATTTATGAAATTCCTGCAAATTCATACATCTTGTGCCTTGCCTCTCTTGATCTGAAATTTATAAATGAGTAAAGCATGAAATGGAGGTATGCAAAGCACAAAAAGCCCTCCACTGGAGTACTCACAAAATCCCCTGTATTTTTGACCTGCCGGTGTTTTAAATTTATTTAAATCCTCTCGTAAAAAACATTTTACGCAATGCACGCTCGCTGCTCAAAGACAAACAGTCAAAAATAAAACGTGACCGTTGG